ATTCTGGAAAGGGAGAAGACAGCTATTTATCAGGTCTTTTTGACCATCCAGTTATATATGCCTTGAAAACTGAATGGAAAACAGAGTTTAGATTCCTTATGGTACCTTTCTGCTTCACTCTTTTGTAAATTCTAGGGTTCTACATGATGTGTTTAAAAAGAAAAGCTTGTGTTACTATTAGAATCAACAGATGGAAATCATACTGATATTTTATTCTGACTAAAAGGAGAAATGCAATATAATAGTGAAATACTCCAGTATTAGCACAGTCTCTCTAGATTATATTGTTTATGGCTCTCAAAGGCATAAAAAAGTGGGTGCTGTAATTCACTGCTGGTTGCCTTGGGTCTTGTGGTACATGGTAAAAGGAGAATGGATTCATGTTGTCATTGACTAGCTGTGTGACATGGGAAAAGCTGTTCTCTTTCCTCTTAAATTTTTGGTTGTGAGCCTAACCTTTAGCAGCCGAGCCATCTCTCCAGCCCTCTCCTCCCTCTGGGCTTTAGTTTCCTTGTTATTTAGAAAGTTTCTTTTGGGCCCTTTCTAACGTGCAAAGGCTGAGGCTTGGGGTGTGCCCAGTAAGTAGCAACTACTGTCAGGTTGTTAAGCATCTGCTCGCCTCTTTTCTTGGGATTCTCATTTCTAAGCACAGCCCCTAAGCTCATGGCTGGTGGGACCATGAATGTTTCAGAGTTGGGAATCTGAAATACAAGGTAACTTTTACGGATCACTAGAGCCAAGGGATTATATAGCTGGAACCTGTGAAAAAAAGAGGAAGAAACATAGAGAAGAATGAAATAGATACAATTGGGGAAGAAAAACTTAAAATAATTCTGGCTTTTGAATTACTAGTTTTGGTCATTTTGGAAGTCCAGCCTCATTCCCATCCTTAGTTTCAATGAGACAATCATGTGTCCTAATTATAAATCATCCTTGTTGGCTTAACCTAAATAAAAAAAATTGTCATCTAAGAATCTACCCTACAATATACATCTCTGTCAGTAGAAATGATCTTGTTTTGCCCATTGAACCTGTCAGTCTACAGCTGCACAAAACAAAATACCTGTGATTTTAGTTTTACCCCACTGGTGTTTAGCATGAACAAGAGCTTCCTTCCCACCCTGAATCCCCTATTCTAAGTATCACGCATGTACACCACTCTCACGCATGTGCACCACTCACCGATGCTCTAGAATGAACTTGCCAGATATTGGGCCGTCATCCCGCTGCACCTCTGTGAAAGGTGCAAGACAGAAAGACAGACGTTGCAGAGATCCGAGGCTCCAGAGAAACTGGCCCCAGGCCTGAAAGGGATAAAGGAGGAAGCAGTCTGGAAAGCAGGTGGAGCAGCATGAGCTTGGTCTGGATAGGGAGTGCCATTAGCCATAGAGAATGGAGTAAGCCCAAGGACGTGGGGATGCAATTCTTTTTTGAAAGACTGGACTGTGAGAGAAAACGCTATCAATAATTTAAAGAGGAAAAATCATCTCAAGCTTTGAGCCAGATGGCTTTGCAATTGAGATTTTTTTGACTTGCAAATGGTTGCCTTGATCTTCACCATCAAATTTATTATTTGATAAGCAATTTACTTTTCTTAAAGTAAAATTGGTTCCTTTCAGCTAAGATGTAAAATTGGAGTGTTCTCTCCTCAATGTGGAGCCAAATGATAGCCAAACTAAAAAGGTATTTTAATTCTGAGGATTTTTTTTTACACATGTGTGTCAGTCTTTGGCTGAAGTGGAACCCCCCCACCTCATTATTCTGGATAAATAAGCAAAGATAAACCTCCCTAGCTTTTCCCTGTTTTTCTTGAGAATGTCTGTTCCCATTCATCAGCCTTTAACCATAAACAGAGCTAAAATGCACTGTTGGTTGCTAAGAACGCATCTGTTTTCGGATAGAGGGATGTGCTTATTGCTGGGGGGTTGCATAAAACTCGTTAACAGCCTTGGTCACTTCCTCTGCAGAATACACAACGGTTTACAAAGTACAGGAGCAGAATTTATCACCACATGCTACTTTTTATTTCTGGTAGCAAAAATCTAGACATAACCCAGACATCATACAGGAAAAGCTGAATACACTAGGATCTGGACTTTTATGGGACTGGGAAGTCTCTACGCTATTATCAGGTGAAAGTTCTATGGGGCAACAATCGTAGCAGTAATTTTTTTTAACTTTTACTTTAAAAAAACTTTGCCTGTGATTGACATATGCAGACGCATACCCAGAGAAAAAGTACAGAAACAGTTTACACAGGTTATCTGTGTAATGGTTTTTCTTTTCTTCTTTTCTTCGTGTGATTACATTTATTGGTGAGCATCGTGCTTGTGACAACTAAAGGACGACCTGTGTGAGTCAGTGCTCTAGTCTTAGCATGTGGTCCTGGGGACTGATGTTGGGCACACGCATTGGCTGAGTCATCTCATGAACCTCTGATGCTCTTAAAGCATCTCTGGACAGTCTGGTTTATTTGAAAGAACACGTGTGACTTTCATCATAGAAACTCAATATCACATAAAATCAGTTAACACAGCAGAAGCAAAACTTAAAAATGGGAGCTATGTAATCAATCTCCCACACACTTACATGGCAGTTGTTAGCTTCTTTTAGCTCTTCTCTTACACTGGTTGATGCTCACAGGAATTTCTTGTCATTTTTGTGACTAGAGAGCTACACATCATTCGACAACGTTGTAGCAATGAAATACTGAATTTCAGTCTCCACTATCTCAGGTCTTCATTTAGCTTTCTCCATTTTTAATTCCCCATTTCTTTATGCAGACTAGAGACTACATTATGGAAGTAAATCTCCCAGTGCCTCTCAAAGGAGCTTAAGGGGAAAAAGACAAGCCCAGAGGTTGTTTCTAGTTAAAAAAAAAAAAAAGATTTCAGAGTTTCATATTTCAGCAGCTCCAAAATGATCTCCACACATCAGCCTCAGGAGGAACTGGAAACCAACAAGAATTTGACCTAAGTACTGAATGACAGAGCTGTGATGTGCGGCTGTTGGGTACATATCAAAGGCAGGATAGCAACACACTCATTCACTACAGTGCCCTTAGCAAAAGGTGCACACATCCATGTGAGTGTGTGTGTTCACACGTGCATGTACACACTCACGCCTGAGCAAAAGGGGATATCTTAGCTGCAAGCTGCTCTGTGTCATGCCAGTCAGCAGTCAAGCTAATCAGGGGAAATGATAGGATCGTTTCTACCCGGGGAGGAAACATGTAAATATGAGATTAAATAGCTTGCTACTTCCAAAGGAAGCTTCCGCTTTCCTGCCTTGATATCGTTGTAGTTTTTTGTTTGCCTGTTTTGTTTTGTTTCCCTGTTCTAGTACATGTCTTCCTGTTTAAATGGATTTAAAAATCTAGGTTTAACACGAGAATTGAATTTATGTTGGGTCAGTTATATTTGTATTGTAGGGCTGGTTTTTTGTTGTTGTTGTTTTGCTTTGCTTTGCTTTGCTTTGCTTTTTGTAGGGCTGTTTTAAACTTTAAAAAAAATCATTATCATGAGATCTAGGACCCAGAATCTTGCTGAGGAGTCCAACAGCTGGCAACCAAGCTCTGGATCTATGGTGGTTTTTTCTTTTTTTCTTTCTCTTTCTTTTGAGACAGGGTCTAAATATGTAGCTCTGTCTGGCCTGGAACTCACTTGGCTGACCTCAAACTCACAGAGATCTTTAATGCAGTTCCTCATATGACCACAACCATAAGATTGTTACTTCACCACTGTAATTTTGCTACTGTTTTGAGTTGTAATGTAAATATCTGATACCCAGGATGTCATGACCCACAGGTTGAGAACTGCTACCTTAATGGGTAAACCCTTCACTCTATGTAGGAGACCCTTACAGGTAGTCTTATAGGGATTCATCCTGACTTGTCCTTTATTGCCTGTAGGAGTCTGGGCAAATCTAAGATGTTCAGGTTCTGCTTTTAACCCATTTGTAGAAAGAAGTCGCCACAGGCCTCACCTCTCCCCTACACTTAGACTCACGGAGTTCGACCTGTTGGAACCTGAAGGTGTTTTCGGAGCACTGATCATTGAAGTGAAACAGCTGTAAACAGATTGACCATTTAACTATTTACTTGTTTTCATTTTTGAAAACCAGTCCAGTGACAGAGAAATACTGTGTTACTATCACACATACGTACCACAGTCAGCAACTGCCGTCCTTGTGGAAACCTTGGTGGGGTTATTAGCAGTATTTCCTTTCCACTTTAAAAGTGAGCTAAACAAGTTACATGTCACTCCCTCTCTCAGCTTCCCCACTCGTGTTACTATTAATGTTCTGGGCTAGAAAACTCATTTCTCGTGGTGGCCTATCCTGTGCACTGTGGGGTGTTGAACAGTGTCCTCTGTCTCTACCAATAAAAGCCACTGCATGCTCACCTCCAAGTACTGACCAAAGACAGAGATGTCTCCTGATATAAAGTGAGGCCCCCATCCTAACCCCCAACCCCCCCACCCTGGTAAAACTCCTCCATACTGAGAAATACCACATGCAAAGCCTACACTCATCAAAACTTAACTTCAAAGGGATAACCTAACCTGTTTCAGAATGAGTAGCAGCACGGACTGAACCCACCCGGGGGTAGTAGCTGCTAAGCACTCTACAGTCAACAAAAGTTCATTTGTGGAGGTGGTGTGTGTGTGTGTGTGTGTGTGTGTGTGTGTGTGTGTGTGTGTGTGTGTGTGTGATTATTTGGCTTCCTAATTGTAGTGAGGTACAAGGGCTAAATCAGGGGAGGGGTCTCCAGGGATAGAAACTAACTTGCTGCAGTTCTTTGCCAGATTGAAATAGCAAAATGGGAAGCGACCATCGGGCCCCTGGCTGGGAAGTGTGATTCTCGATTCCATTCTTGTTTGCCTCAATGATAAATATAAAAACCAGGGTGACAGTCAGATAGATGCTCCTCAGCAGTAACAGCTAATGGTCACAGTGTCCCATTTTCTCCTACTCTTATACTTAGAAATGACCACCATTGCTTTCACACCACCGTTTCCATTTATTAGCAATAACAGAGGAAATACCAATAGCACCAATTAAAAATGAATCCACATGACGTGTTTTATCCTTACAGCTGTAGTAACTAGTAACTAACACGAATTGGAAAGCACTTTATAAATTTAAAAAGTGCTGTACATATACATTATAGTTATCATCATTAATAAATTAGCCCGATTCTCCTAGTTCAAAAGGCACGTAAGGTCAGTTACATGGGCTTCAGTGGGGCAAAATGATCACAACCTACAATGTAGCAATGGTTCACATGTGTTGTCAACAGTTTTACCCCATGCAATCCTGCAGAGCTGAAGTTACACACCCTTCAAAGTATGGGAGAATGAAGCTAAAAGTAGACAAGACAGCTTTTTTTGTTGTTTTTGTTTTTAGATTTTATGCCTTTTAAAACAGACTCCTACTTTTTATATTAACTTTAAATAGATAATATAATTAATCAAACTTCTAAGTTGTGCACAACACAATTAAAATGCCTTATTTATGGTGACAGTAAATTGTATTACTTTCTATGAGCTGATATTCCGGAGAGCGTTTCAAAGAAATCTGTAAACTCAAAGAGGTCAGACTGGTACAATTTTGTGCTTGAATATCCTCAGGGACTTTCTTCAGCATTTATTCCAGAACTGTTACTAGAAAAAAATGTTTTATCCATTCCCTTGCCAAGAGTCTTGGCAAGAGACAGCCCTTGGCTGACCATAAATAAAATTCCTTGAATCACCAGCATCTTGATTTAAGAAAGAAATTTTACTGTGTCTTTCATACACAAAAGCTGATTAACAATGGTTTAAAAAAACTATTTCACTTTTCCACAGGTGTACAAAAGGAAATATAATGGGCTTACATTCAACAATAAAGCTTAAAGTTCACTCTAGGTAATAGTTGCATTGACATTCACATACACAAGCACAGAGTGAGTATATCTCAGGAGTCTTATAATAGCATACAGCATACATATGGGAGATTGATTCGGGTAGTATCATAGGTGTTAGTAAGGTTAGCAATTCAGAGTGTTATAGAAAAGGAAAACTAAACAAGGCAAAGGTGTAGGCTATCACACCGAGACAATCACAGGATCAGAGGAATGAAAAATCTGCTCACTGTGTGTATGAGAAAATGATATTATTCTTCAGTTTTGGGTCTTGATATAGTGGGTTAGAGAAGGTTGTGTAATCAAAGTGCACATCATTTTTCTTACAAAAGAGAGAGAGAGAAAGGTCCTTTCACTTAGTAATTAATACATGCAAGAGGCAGCCCCAGAGTGACCCGAAAGAGTAAAGCTGTGATTGGCAGGTGGCCGGTATAATACAGATGTTCCAGGCAGTTCTCTTAAAGCACTTCTGTAGCAGCAATGATCATTTTAAATGGCTGTAGACTGGATTCTCTTTTGAGGGAAGTTGGGGGATTTGTGTTCATCACACTTCTTTAAAGATTTATAGCTATAGACTTTCTCTTTTTTAATAAACCTATCAAACAACAAACAGCATAAAGTGAGGCTGTTGGGGCATTTCTTTTGCTTTTGCATATGTGTTGTTGGAAAAGGATGTGTCCTTTTCATAAGCATTGTGTGCAAAAGAATTTCTAATAGTGTGAGCACAAGGACGTGTACAGGAAACACATCAGATCTGCTTCTGTTGCCCTGGCTGGCCCTCTGTTAAGCACTTGGACTGCTGGCATGTGTGCATAACACAGGCTTTGAGTACAGCGATACTATAGCTAACAGACTTGAGGGACTCCTAAAGCTTTGTCAGTAGGGGTGGTTTCGTCAGCTAGAGGATGACCACCACACCTGGAAATGAGAAAGTCTGGTCCCTTTGGGTTTCACATTCCCCCCTCCAGATGGAAGACTCCAATGTTTCTGTATCTTTATTTCCCAGCTAGTCTAATCTGTACCATCCCAGCCAGTGTCAGGCTCTTGAACACTCATGGTAGCTACACACACCCAGTGACCACAAGCACCCAAGCTGCTCAACCTGAATACCTTCCAGCCTGCCCTGCAAATGTCATCAAGATGCCTGAAGCATAGGGAAGAGTCCGACTCTCACTGGCAGGGCTGGGAAGCCCCTCCTTCATGGCAGAGGAGAAAGGAAACTTGGGTCTGCTTTTTAGGTTCTGAAAACAAGCCAGAGTGGAGAGAAAGAGTTAACACCAGACTTAGGAAAGCTTTTAAGACAAAACCTGTCAAATGCAATCAATCAAGACAGACACAGGGAACTTTCTGCAGATTTCTGAGGTCTCTAGGAGGGCTCATGTCATAGGAGAAAGGAGTAGGGAGTTGCTACATGGGAGAGATTTGCTGTTATTACAAAAACTGGCTAAGTGGCTTCTTTCCATTTGGTGGCCTCACTGGTCGCTGTTGTCAGTCGTGCTGTTCCCTTTATCTTTTTTCTCCTGGGTCTTGTTACCCTTCTTCTTTTTCTTCTTTTTCTTGGTCTCCTCCTTTTTGCCGAAGGTTATAAAGTCGCTTTTGTCAATTTGGTTGCTAGCAGGCTCCTGCCGGATGGAGATGATTGCAGGAGATCCTGGGATAATGAATTTGTCTGGCAACTCACCGGGACCGGACTGTTTGGGGTTGCCTGGTCCATATTTAAAGGTCCAGCTGTTGCTGTTGACACCAGCACCCACTGGAGGGGACACCTCTCCTGCTTCAGGTTCTGAAAGACAAAAACATCACAAATCAACAACAGTGAATGTATGCCTTCCCTTATGACATACACAAGAGGGACAAACTGCCCTCAAGTCTGAGGGGGAAGCCAGTGTCTGGAAACAATTAGCAGGGCAGATTTTCTTACCACAGGGCCCACAAATCTAGTTTTCTAATGACATGGTTTTGACTCTTTGTGAAGAATTTCCTAAATAAGACAGCTGTGGTAGCTTGCCTGGGAAAAAGACAGGAAGTATGCAGGCTTAAAGTAGAAAATTCTACTTTCAGGGTATGGATTATTATCATTTATTTTCACTCTTTTTGTTTTGTTTTGTTTTGCTTTGTTTTTGGAGACAGGATTTCTCTGTGCAGCCCTGGCTGTCCTAGAATTAACTCTGTAGACCAGGCTGGCCTTGGAATCACAGAGACCTACCTGCCTCTGCCTCCCAAGTGCTGGGATTAAAGGCATGCATCACTACCACCTGGCTTCTTTTCTTTTTTTTTTTTAAAGATTTATTTATTATGAATACAACATCCTTCCTCCATGTAGGTTGCACACCAGAAGAGAGCACCAGATCTCATTCTCATTACAGATAGTTGTGAGCCACCATGTGGTTGCTGGGAATTGAACTCAGGACCTCTGGAAGAGCAGTAAGTGCTCTTAACCTCTGAGCCATCTCTCCAGCCCCACCTGGCTTATTTTCACTTTTATTTCTGCCCAAGCTACAGATGATATGTTTGAACTAATTATCCATCCTAATTTTATGGATAGAACAGAGATGAAATGGGAAGAAGTGAGGTACAGAAGCCACTCCATAATACAAGAGGTTGGACTCCTGTTATAGACTGAATCCATCTGTTTGGATAAAGCATTCCAAATCAATTTCATTTTCAAACTAAGCCTCCTTACTCAGAGTGGTCATAGTCTATACACCAAAGCATTTGCAAAGCGTTGTGGAACTACACAGAAGACAATTATTCATTTTCTTGGAGAAGGTTATGTGGAGTTCCATGGGGAGGTGACATTTGCCCTGAGCCTACAGATGATCACAGGGGCCTCCAATGACAAACTTCTCCAAGAGTCAATCAAGTTGGAAGATGCTCCATAAGATGCCATAGCTGGAGCTGGAGAGGGAGAGTGATGGTCTACCTGAAAAAGTGACCCCAGAGGCCGTAACACTGGAACCTTTTAATGTCACAAGAGGGTTTATTCATCCAACTCTGCTTTTTGGAAGACTCACAGAAAGTTCAGCCAAACGACTTATGTTCATTTGCATCTTAGGATTGTTCCTTCACGTCTGGTGTTTCCATGCCTTGCTTCCTGCAGTTTCTTGGGTGTCCCAGAGCACTACGGTTTTGAACATTGCCTATACCAAGTTCTCTATACTACTTTCCAAACCAATTTCAATACCTACCCTATAAATCCCCTCAGAAACATTTGTCACTCCCTTCTGGAAACAGAGACTCATGAGTACTTTGTCATGCAGGAGAGGAATAAACCCCACGCGATCTTAGTGTAGGACTAGGCTCCTGTAACATGACAGATTAACATGAAAGATAAAGAAAGGAAACCACTTAAGAACATACGTATTTCATATATACATAGAAACACCAAGGGGAAAGGCAGTTCCTAAAGCGGCAGCTTTAAATTGGGTTTCATAGGATTCAATGAAGAACAGTGATTTTTAGACAAGAGATTAGACAAAGGAATGAACTGTTTAGTTCCCGAGGACAGCAACTTAAACGTCAGAAAGCAACTGGTTGGTACAGGTTGTTACTACTGACCCAAGTCCAGGCCTAACGAAAAGCTAGCTGTCTTCTAACGGTTATAATTTGTTCTCCCTAGTGTGTGTACAAACATTTTTCATTTGCTTTTGCAAACCTATGTTTCACTTTTAGAAAAACAAAGCAAAACCAAACAAAGAAATAAGGAGTGAGAAATTTTCTTCCTCTTGTCATCCATATTTTGCAGAGTTGTTTCCAGGTCACAGCAGTCGGCACCCTCTTCACCTATCTTTTGCCTCTGACTAGCTTCCTTTGCACAGTCCTCCTCACCCATGTGTGTGACAGATGTAGCCTGTGACTGTCTTCATTATCTACCTCTACACCCTCCTTTCAGGGTCTCAGCCCTGTTTGAGGGCATAAATAGTAAGTAGTAAAGTTGAGCATGGTGGCACATGCCTGCAGTCCCAGCATTCAGGAGGCTGAAGGGGAAGGTTGGAGAAGTTCAAAACAGCCTGGGCTACATAACAAGTTCAAGGACAGCCTTGAATCATCTCAAAAATAAAAAAACATATAAATAAATACACGAATGAGATATAGACGGTTAAGGTCCCTATCCCTCTGTGCTGTAATCTCCTATATTCAATTGCCTCTCTGATGCCTCTAATAGCAAATTTCACAAATTACAAACTGAAAAAAATTCTTAAATCAAACTTTTGATTCCTTCCTTCTAGTCCTGTCTAAATCTTTCCAGTCCCAACACATAAGAGATCTCACTGACTGTTATTCAAGGCAGGAAGGGCAGAACTACCCTTTGTTTCCTTTATTGTCTGCTCTGTTTACAAGACATTGCCAAGACTTACTATTTACGCCTCCTAAATGGATCTGATGATGTTTTCTCCCCATGCCCATTCTTTGTAGGGTGTCATAATCTCTTACACAAACCAGGGCAGTAGCTTCTCTCCTTGCTTCTCTGCTTCCTCTTGGCCTCTCTCTGGTCGCCCACACAGTAGCCAAATTACCCTTGTTCTTTAAAGTGCTCCAAGTTTTAAAAATGGAAGTAAAATTCTTTAAAATAGAAATCAGATGAGATCACTCTCCCACCTAAAATTATCCAAAAGCTTTCGACTGTCTTGAGGGGGGATGAAAGAAACTCTCCTAATATTGTGTATGAGGTTGTTTTGCCTCAAGATCTTGAAACCATTAGGTAGATTCTGAAGGTGTAAGATTTACACTAAACCTTGGGAAAATAAGAGGTTTTCAGTGTAAAACTTCTCCAAGATTCTAGTTGGAAGACACATAAAGTGTAACAGTGACTTTAGAGTCAAAGCCAGAGCATCTCAAATGATCTTCCTTCCATTCTTAAAAAAAAAAAAAAATATATATATATATATATATATATATATATATATATATATAAACTTTTTATGTGTGTGGAGTTTGCCTGCATGTATGTCTGTGTATCATGTGTGTACATGGTGCCTGAGGAGGCCAAAAGATGGTGCGGGATCTCCTGGAACTAGAATCACAGATGATAATTAATGAGCTGCCACATGGATGCTGGGAATCTGTTTCTCTAGAACCCTCAGGAAGAGCAGCTGCTCCTCTTAACCACACTGATCCACACCTCTCCAGCCCCTCCCTCCATTCTTATCATGATTCCCTGTTCTTCTAGCCTGTGACTAAATGTTATCTGTTCAGAGAAGTGGCACCCAGTGTGGGACCCAAATTTCCCCTTAGGGCCTGAGAAAGCTGAAAACAAAACAAACAAACAAGTAGATGCAGCTCCTAAAGAGTTGCTGCTGAGCAGCACAGCACTTGGGCAGCCAAGCAGAAGCAGCAAGCTAAGTAAAAACCTGCCACAGTGGGCACCAACCTCCTGGAGCTGGGGAGGTTGCATGCAGCTCTCAGTTAAAGGCAGCCAGGTCCTGTGCTTAAGGTTCAGCTCTCAAGGACCCAAGGAGGGGGCAGAGCCAACACCAAAGCCACATGGCAGAGGGCCTGGCTGCCACTTAGCAGTCAGACGTTTGACTCACATGGTCAGAGAACACTACAGGTTCACAGTAAAACAGGTCCAGACTGGAAAAACAAAACAAAACTTTAAAGAGGTTACAGTGTGCATAGGAAATGGGTATAGAGAGTTATAGGAAAAAACAGTTTAAAAATAATTAAGTGAAGGGCTGGAGAGATGGCTCAGAGGTTAAGAGCACTGACTGCTCTTCCAGAGGTCTTGAGTTCAATTCCCAGCAACCACATGGTGGCTGACAACCATCTACAATTCAATCTAGTGCATATGTAATAAATAAATAAATCTTTAAAAAATAATTAAGTGAAGTCTTTAAAGAAAGAGTGAAGAACTATAAAAAGAATAAGCCACATAAATATGGGAAACACACAGGATGTCTGAATCATGTATGGTGTTTTGTTGACTGAATTTTTTGAATGCTGATGAGTAAATGGCAGCTTCTGAGACACACAGGATTGAAAAAGAAACTGTTGAATAAAACCACCCTGGATACTTCAGGGATGTCTTAACTTTAAAATGGAATTCAAAAATGTATTGCTTTGTGGGAGAAGCTATGTTTTTGTTTCCACAGGAAAGCCTGTGGATTTCTTCAAAGTTAACAGAGACAAGATTTGATTGGGGGAGACCTCCTGAAAATCTTGGCTACAGAAATGAAGAAATAAACCTAGAAAAACTACAAGACAGGTAATACATATGCTGACCCCTTGACATGGGAACATCTCTAAGACTGGATGAGATGTGATAAACCTTATTGGTTATAGTTCTCATGACTTATTATTACATGCCATCCTTTCATATGGCATGGATAGAGGTTTGGCTATACAGTCCAAACAAACTTATAAAGTTGACAAATACATAAAGTTACCTCCTCAAACATCTTGGGCTGGCCTGTGTATAATGCATAATCTATACTTGTATTGATGCAGGTATGTACATTACCTTTGAATGTTTGTGTGTTTTCAGAGCAAGGGGACCAGACACTGATGAAAATGGGTGGTCCAGATGACCCATCCTCTCAGAGTGCCTCTGTTGCAGTTTCCTCAAAGTTCTATGTTCAGAAAAACTTCAAGGCTGCTGGATGAGATGGTCCAGCCTCACAGAGTATTCTAGCCAGGACTTCAGAAATGGGAAAGCCTTGTGCTTTCCCATTACACAGAGACTAAACTACAAATGTTATAGCTAGTTTTCTTAGGACTTGACCATTATCTCAATTTTCTCAGGGTCCCCTGGGGATTCTGTCACCCCCAGAAAACAGGATCAGT